GTACACTGAGAACATTTGCAACAAGACAAATTCCTTGTGTGTCCAATCACACTTGGCCAATAAAGAATTCTATTCTGTTCTGTTCTGTTCCATTCTGTTCCCTTCCCTTCCCTTCCTTTCCCTTCCCTTCCCTTCCCTTCCTTTCCCTTCCCTTCCCTTCCCTTCCCTTCCTTTCCCTTCCCTTCCCTTCCTTTCCCTTCCCTTCCCTTCCCTTCCCTTCCCTTCCCTTCCCTTCCCTTCCAGACGTTTCATTACTTAGCCTTGTAACATTGTGGTGTTTGTCTGCAGAGAGACAACCAAGTTCAGGGAGCACCAAGGACTCCACTTGCTGGACTGTTGAGGCAGCTGGACTGGCTCAGCCCCAAAGCTCCTCTGTGAAAAAGGGAGAATCCCCACATCCAAACTCAATTCCAGATGACACCAGACATGCTCTTGTCTTGACAGGATGATACAGGTGGATTTCCACCCTCCGAGATCTTCGAGCTTCTTGACCAAGCTCACCTTTGAGGCGTCAGAATGGTACATACAGTCCATCTTCCCTTAAATTCTCAAGGAGAGACGTGCAGAGGTTGGGTTAGGTCTTACCCCTGTGTAAAGGGGTTTACAAGACCCCCCCTCTCTTTTTCCACTGCGTGCAACCTGTGTGGTGTTTTTGTTTACATTTACCACCAGAAGAAGTTGAATGGTACATGCCATTCTGAAGGAAATGCGATACAGAACCCCCTGTAATACCACTGACCACCAGGATCTCCTAAAGCTAATGTACTGTATATAAAGTAAGTGTGAAGGTCTGTGAGTCTATCCGTCCATGCACCCATGCATCCCTCCATCTATCCCTCCATCCCTCCATTCCTTCATCTATTCATTCATCCATCTATTTATCCATCCATCTATTTATCCATATATCCATTTATCTATATATCAATTCCTCCATCCATCCATCCATCCATCCATCCATCCATCCATCCATCCATCCATCCATCCATCCATCCATCCAATCATCTATAGATACACACAATCATCTTCTTAAATGCAAAAGTCGGAAAGTTCAGTTCCAGTAGACGTTGGAACCTCCATCTCTGAGGAGTCCCAATAAGGACAAACTGGTCACACTGGGATTCCTGGGGGTCAATACATCAGATGACCTGAAAAGCGCATGGAGGAGTGAGGACAATCAGGGAATAATTCCCCCGAGAGACACAAAGGTTTTCACCAAAGAAGGAAGAGGGGAAACCTAGGAGTGCATCTTAGGAGCTCGTTTATTTGGAGAGCAATTGGCATTTCGTAGGAGCGTTAATGCCCCCCCCCCCAATGCAAGGCGTGGCTTCTTTACTCGGCGCTGTAGGCCTCCACTTCACAGACGGTCAAGTACCCCTCCCCGGGTAAGTGGATACTGATGTAGCGGCCTTCCTGCCCGTTGCAGTAGATGGTGGTGATGGAGCCCAGGCTGGTGTTCAGGATAATCCCACAGCTGTGGGGCAAGAGAGGTCACAGGTTAGGAGGGCAGTCCTTCTTGGCCCCCACCTGCTGGGGGTGATTCTGCAGGGAAGGGTTTTTTTTTTTAAAAAAAAAAACTTTGATTGCTTTCTCAGGGTCATCAACTGTTCTGACCCAAACCTTGTTCCAAGCAAACAAACACCAAGCAGAGGTAAAAGCAAAACCTTTTAATGCTTCTCTGCGAATTCCTTTCCTTCACAGTTAAAAGGCTATGAAAACTCATTGTCTCTGATCAGAACGAGCCTTGCCAAGGTGGTGCAAGGCTGCCAAGAACACTAGATTAAATTGCAAGGAAATATTCAAAACCCAAAGTCTCCAAACACAAACCAGGATAGTCCAAACATCCACAAGCCTTGAAGAGCAAGAACTTCTTTGCTTCCTGCAAAGAATCCCACCTCTGAGGGCTGGCTTTTATCCCTTAAGGGAGAGGCCATCACCTTGCAGCCTTACTCCCGAGTCATCCGTGCTGCTGCAGCTGCTCTTTCCTTCGAGCAGCCCTGCACGCACGTGCACTGGGCACAGGCTCCTCAGGGACCTTGTCCTCACTGCTGCCAGCCTCCACCATCTCAGAAGGCAGCACTCCACTCCCTGATGGTCCTGGCCCCATCCCTGCATCCCACGCAGGCCCATCATCCGAGTCCTCGCTCTCTGAGACCTCAGCCGTCCTCACCGGCTGCCAGCGAATCACATCATTACCTTGATTTTTCTGGATCCAGCTCTGAAGAAGGCTACTGTCAAGCACGAGAAACCAGGAGATCCAGGCAGTTATATAGATTATATAGGTTTATGGCAAACTGAGGCTCTCTACAAGAATCTGAGCTACTAACGGTCAAAGCAAACTGGCCGTAGATAAGAGTCAGCAGAATTCAAGGTGGGTTGGAGTTGGATCTCTTGCAGGCATGAAGGGATGCGAGTCGAGACCGATAACGTGTTTGACCCCTCCCTCCCCCGGGCTCATCCTGTTCATCTTCTACAGCTACGGCCCTTGTTTTTTGCTCCTGCCCTGAAGAAGGTTACAGTCTTCATCAAGGGACACATGAATTTATCCAGCCTGGTTTTGTCCCTGACGCAGCTGGCTGTCTTGGCCAGATCCATCCGCTGGAATTGGGCAGCTAATCAGTTCAAATAAACAAACATATAAATAAAATCCCAGATCTAATGAGAGAGAGGGGAAACCTGAGCAATTTATTCAGCCGTAACTTAAAACCTCTCCTTTGCTCCCTTATACAACAGTTCCTCTAAGTGCAATAAAATGATCGAATCCACCTATATTTGATGTTGTCTTTTCCTAATTTATTGTTTCAGTTCTAAGTCTTGCCCAAAATACTTTGGAAGCCTCTTTTCCGCTCCGAGAACATCTTTTTTGAGATTCAGAGACCAGAACAAAAGTCCAAGGAGAGAAACTGCCTTTTCTACCCCAGCCTCATATCAGGTGCTTTACCCAGTTCTGAGGGAACCCAGGTTCTAGATTTGCAACATAAATGATAGCAGAAGTTAGCAATCAGGTCCCCCAAACAACTGATAAGACCACTTAGCCAGATGTCTCCGGTCTTTCCCTACCTCTTGGGGGAGCAAGGAGGGAGGTGATCTCACAATCTCCACATCAATGGAGTCACAATGTCTTGGTCCCCAGGACAAAGTCAGCACCTCATACCCAACAGCACCCCAAAATCTCCTGCACTGGCTGTGGATTCTGTCTATTCTGGCGATGCCCCAAATACCTGGAGGACTCCAGCTGGGGAGGACGGACTCCGAGCAACTTACAGAGGGTTGGCTCTTCCGTGGTCATCCAGAGAATCTCCTAGGTGGACCTCTGCTCCATACAGCCTTTCTCCACAGCAGTCCTCACGGTTTTTCAACACCACCACGTAGATTTTATGAGGCTCCCCCAGGTCCACCAACAACCAGGGGTTTCTCTCCAGGCTGGTGTGGGCGCAGGAGCCATGTCTCCAGGTCCCATTGCAGTCCCCATCCACGGCTTTGTCTGGTGATCCAAGGCTCTCATATATGTAGTCGGAAGACTGGGAAGTCGGCTTCCCTAAGGCCAAATTATCTGCGCCTGCACCTGCAGGAGAGAACGGAGGAGATCCTTCAAGCAGAGAGTGGTTGGGAGGAGAAGAAAAAGGGAGGGTGCAAAGCCACAAGGGCAACATTTTGGAGACACAAGGAGTAAGTTTTGAAACGGGTTAAAAGAAGTGAAGCTGAGTGCAATGCTACCTTCCTTTGCTATTGGGGGAGGAACCCCTTGGCCTCCTTTTCTCCCACTCCCAGAGAAGATCTGGACCTCATCACAGTAGGTTCAATGAGATCCATATCAAGTGGCCATTGACCATGTGATGTGGCTCCGCTGGAGACCATGTGGGTGATGAGTTCGTAGGACAGATTAGGGAGAGCAAATATCCGGTTGGCCTGAAGTGCTGTGGGCAATTACACACCCACCCACCCCAGTTTATACTCTATTGCCTTGTTCCTCTGCAAGTGTCTCCAGGGGGCACCCAGACGTTCTGAAAGTGTGCGAGCTTAGAGAAGCAAGGGACACACATCAAAGAGAACATAAGGCCCAGTTTGTTGAGAAACATACAAGCAGAAGTCCCTGCTCCCAAGGACAATCTTACTGTGGTTGTGCAACAGACCCACTGAAGTTCAGGGATCTCGTGGCCCTTGTACCCTTTGAGTAACAACTACAGTATGTGTTGCAGGCAGTGCGCCGGTATCTGAAGGTGCTACAAGACTAAGAGGAGAGACTGGGAGAGGACTAGTGGATGTTACATCTGTATCCACACACACACGCAACACACAAGGGTCTTTAGGTGATTCTTACCTGTAGGTGGAGGCCTGCAACTCTGAGCTGCTGTAGGGCCTGCCAGGAGGGCCACGGCCAGCAGACCCCCCCAGATAATGAGCTTCATCCTGCAAGCGAGGAGGGGAGAGATCAGGAAAGGCATGGCAGGGCCACGTAGAGACGATGAAGAGCTGGCTTCCTCTGCTCAACACACCTGAGCATCAGGACTGGCCATGGACCCAAAGGAAGGTTGGCGGTACCTTCAAGGTTCTGCCCTTCTCCCAGAGGTCCATCAAGAGCATTCCTGAAATCTGCCTCTTCTCTCACCTGGCCTTTCCCACATACTGACGTTAATCTCATTAAAAAACACCAAGGTGGGGTTTATTAGAGTCTCTTCCTCTTCTGCCGACTTTCTCGGGCCATCCCATAATTTCACCCACCCCTCCTTCCAGGGCTCGCTCTGTGGTCAGTCCTTCCTTCTTTCCCCGCCACTCACCTCCTTCAATCTCTTGGCGATGTCCAAAGGGCTGGATCTCCTTCCTGGAGGGGGAACAAGGGCAGCTCCTTTCCCCCCACAGGTGGTGCTTCAGGTGAGCCCAGGGCCTCCCTCTGACCAGCCTCGGTTTTATCCCCTTCCTCCCAGGTAGGACTAACCTGACTCAGGAAGCCCAAGCCAATCAGGAGACCAGAGCAAAGGTTGGCCTCTTTCCCAACTCAGGGGGACCTTTAGGTTTGCTTTGGTACAAGATTTGTCACCAACTTAGCAAACATGGAATCTTCTCATCTCCAACAGGTATTAGCTCTCTCCCACAGTGAAGGACAACACAAGGCTTTTTATCAGGAAACTGCACTGCCATCCAGCTCACGATAAACTCTCAGCAAACACTGGGTTTCTTCACTCAGCACTGAATTTCCCGAGGCCTCTGGGTCTTATGCATGGAAAAGGGGGTAGTTCGCTTAGTTTTACAAGCAAAAGTTTTACATACTCAAGGGTTTTTTTTAGGAAAAAACCATGGCTGCATCAACTAAGCCAACTATTCATTATTTTCCCCATAATTATCTTCTCCAACCCCACCTCCTTGTCCACATAAATGAAAACATTGGCTGTTGCCTCTGTTGAAGACCCAAAGGTGAGGAGCAGCAGTGGAATCCTACCTGTTCAACTACTGATTTGGTGATTGTGTGTGTGGAGAGGTCTGCACATGGGCACACCTAACTCACACGCACCTAATGCACTTGTGCAGCTTTCCACACACCAGCTGAGGCTCTGCCACACCAACCAGCTGAAAGGATAAAGAGGAGAAAAGTGTAGGGGCAGGTGAGAGGGCTGATCCTGCGCTTTTCTCTTCTTCCTCTTCTCAGCTGATCGACTTTCAGCCCAACCGGTAGCAATTTTTGCAACCGGATCAGTTGAACCGAGCCAAACCGGTAGCCTAAAACCACTGGTGTGTGGAGCAACCTTCTCCAACAGATTCTGGTCTCCTGCAGGAGCCATGATCCTCGAGAACTGGGCCCTTCCAGGAGAGGACCTCAAGGTCCATTGACCTCTCATCATCTTCAGAAGATGCCTGAGCAAGCCATCCACAGCTCCAGCAAGGTCCCTCAAAGTGGGGACCCTCCCTGTTCATAGGAGACCAGGCTTGAGGGTCTGGTCTTGGCATTGTCTCCACAGACTTCTTAAAAACTCACCCGGAGTCTGTCACCAACCAAATGAGCTTTCCCAGCTGTTCCTCTTCAACCTGCGATACCTGCAAAATATTGGAATTCTTCTGTAGCGGATGCTTTTAACTCCCTTCCTCGTGGAGTGAACTCTTCCTTCAGGGGGGCCAACCAGCCAATGGAAAGTGGCAGAGCTTGTGCTGAAGACCAGGGACCCAATCAAGACTACGTTTCAAATTCCCCACAAATTCTCCCTACCTCCTGGGTGTTGACAGTGAGGGGAGAGGGCACACAACACAACCCACATTCTACTGGATCTCACTTCCTCCTTCCAGGTGTTCAGGGACTCTCTTCTGCACAGGTACATAATAGTCTTCCTTGGCAGATGTCAACTGGTTTCCACGTCTGAACCACATCCTTGTTTGGGAAGAAAGAGCAACATGAATGTTGTTTTTGCAAGATGCAACCATGCTCACACCTCCAAAGTCAACACGAGTTCTGGTAGCTTCCAGATCACTTCCTCCCAATCCTGAAAAATGCTATTACATAAGAAGAGAATATTTCCAAATTAAAGTCAGAAAAAGGCTTCCTGGCAATGAAAGTGTACCACACTGATGTGCCTCATTGAAGGAAACATTGAGCTCCTGTGAAAAGTAGTCAACTTGCCATCTTTTGATGTGTCCAACTGAAGAGGAGGCTGGACCTGATGGCCTCCGGGGAAAGCTTCTAAAACACCAGATAAGTGAAGGAAACCTGCTTTCTGGGGACATGAGACTCCTGGTGTGTATGATGAATGTGCTGCTATGTACCTGGACAGGTATATATACTCTATAAAGCCTTAGTAAGACCACACCTAGAATACAGCATCCAGTTTTTGATCACCACACTATAAAAAAGATGTGGAGACTCTAGAAAGAGTGCAGAGAAGAGCAACCAGGATGATGAGGGAACTGGAGGCTAAAAGATATGAAGAACGGTTCCAGGAACTGGGCCTGGCTAGTCTAGGGAAGAGAAGGACCAGGGGAGACAGGAGAGCAGCCTTCCAATATTTGGGGGGCTGCCCCAGAGAGGAGGAGGGGGTCAAGCTATTTTCTAAAGCCCCCGAAGGCCAGACAAGGAATAATGGATGGAAACTGAACAAGGAGAGATTCAACCTGGAAATAAGGAGAAACTTTCTGACAGTGAGAACAATCCACCAGTGGAACAGAAGTTGTGGGAACTTCATCACTGGAGGCTTTCAAGAAGAGATTGGACGGCCATCTGTCAGAAATGGTGTAGGGTCTCCTGCTTGGACTAGATGACCTCCAAGGTCCCTTCCAACTCTGTTAATCTGTATGGTGGATGGCAAGAACACCTCTTGCCTCTGATCACCTGGGTTTTCCATTCAGTCCAGTCAGGGTGTGGTGGGCATTCGTTGTCTTAGGTAAACCACAAGCATTTGCCTGCATCACTGAGTCATGGATGGTTGACACGGCCCTTCTGGCCAAGGAGGACAACTCTGGTTGGGGTGGGAAGGAGGGGAGGAGATGTTTCACTTGGAGGACGCTTGGTAAATTTGGGGAATCCATCTGCTGGCCCAGCCTAAAGTTGGGCATTTTTTTCCACCTTGTGTGAGTTAGCTAACATAGGTAGTGTCATGCCTCTGTTAGAATCTGACTCCGAGGGAGAGGAAAAACAGCCAACAGAGAGTGGGAGTGTGGCTCCGGAGGTCGTGGAGGAAACTGGGGAAGGGCACAGGCCGGCTGGGCAGTTAGAGGAAGACCCAGGCTCATCCCCTCTTCATCCTAGGGCACGCAGGGAGGAACGGAGAAGGGAGAAACATGAATGGCATGGTCTTAGGTGGAGGAAGGGGCCCTGATCCCCTTCATGGGCTGCAGCTGTGAGGCCTGTTTAAAAGGACAAACTGTGCATGGTCCAGTGCTGGAAGCAAAGGATGAAATAATTCTAGTCTTTCCGTTCTTATCTGAGTTTGGCGTCCTTTCCAGTGTGTGTATTTCGATATCTGTGGACGTCTTCAAGCCCTTATCCTACCTGGTCTCATTAATTGCTTCAGTGTGGTTTGTGTTGTTGTTTTTTCTATTTATAATTTAAATGTATGTTGAGTTTGAACGGAAGTTCTTCCTTTTCGCAACTGTTTGTGGGGGAGTTTTTTCTCCAGTCAATGATAATTGGACTTTTGAAGCCAAGTTGAAGGAATTAAAGGGACCTCACCTGTTTTTGTGACTTTCTTGCTTTTGTGTCCCACCCTGGGTCCTCACAGGTAAGTCCTCGGCTTTACAAAGTTCATTAAGAGACCATTTGAAGTTACAGCAGCAATGAAAAAGGGGACAGGACAACTTTTCACACTTATGACCATCGCAGCCTCCCCGGGGCCAGATGATCAAAATTTGCTTAGCAACCGGCCCGTACTTATGATGGTTGCAGCATCCTGGGTATGTGTGTCACATCACCACTTTCCGTGACAAGCAAAGTCCTCGGGGAAGCTAAATCCCCCACGACAACTGCGGGACTAATTTAACACCCGCTGGGATTCACTTAAACAGCGGTGGCGAGAAAGGTCGTAAAACAAGGCTAAAAAAACTCCGCTAATGACCCTCTCGCTTTGCAATGGGAATTTTTCGGGGTTCGCTTGTGGTCGCAAATTAACGACTGCCTACGATTTCACAAAGGTGGAGGGGAAACATTTAAAAAAAAACTTTATCTCTGCACAAAAGTCATGGCCAGGATTAATGTCTCAACTTCCTCCCCCTTTTGTGTCATCGCCAAGGGCTGCGTCCCCTTTTCTCTGCTGCAAAGGCTTTATATAACTGGTACTGAGCAGTGGAAGATTTTAACATGGCCTTTCATGGTCTAGGACAGGGGTCTCCAACTGTGGCCGCTTTAAGATTGGTGGACTTCAACTCCCAGAATTCCTCATCCAGCTTTGCTTTGGGAGTTGAAGTCTTAAAGTGGCCACAGTTGGAGTCCCCTGGTCCAAAGAGATAAGCAGAGACCAAGGCCTGCGATGCAAGCACCATCGGACTAAAATCCCTGTGGTTACTTACAGAACAAGGCAAACAGACCACAATTTCAGCTGTCCAAAATTTGGCAACCGTGAAATAACACAATTCCAAAGTTCAAAGAAAGGAGGGAAAGAGGCATCGGAATGTCCTATGCCAGGGGTGGGCAAACTACGGCCCGCGGGCCACATCCGGCCCGTTGGTCTGTCCAATGCGGCCCGCCCCTGAAAAAAAAATCGCTGCCATTGGTCTGTCCAATCCGGCCCGCCCCTGAAAAAAAATCGCTGGGCGTGGCGTATTGCCCTGTGCCGCGTGGCCCCCAAAGCTGCAAAACAGTGCGGAGCGATCTAGGGGTAGGAAAGAAAAGAAATTTGCAAAGGCCTCGGCTGGGAGTTCGAAATCACCTTCGAGTGCGACCTCTCTGAAGGTGAGTCCCCGCCGATCCCCCCTTTATTTTCCGGGGCTTCCAGGCTTAAACTTTGCAAAGGCAAAGCTTGCAGGCTGGAGCATCTTCCCACCGAGGAGCGGGAAGGGTTCCACCTGGCAGGCGGGGCGGGCTGCTTGGAGCCACCTAAAGCTAGGCCGCTGCTGGTGGAGCCTTGCCCTGCCTTGGTGCCCCGTTTCCCGGCTTGGCGGTCCTGCTCAGGCGGCACTTTAAAAGCCTGCTCCCAGCACCCGAGCAACTTCCCAGCAACTTTCGGCTTCCTTTTAACTCACGGGCGCTCGCGCCTGGCCCCGAGCCGCGCGGCAGAGGGGAAGCCCGGTGGGCAGGCAGGCTGCTTGGAGGAGGCGACCCGGCGGTGCTCCGGCAGCAGCAACAGGCAGTTCCGCCCGGGCTCCGCTCAGGTGTCCGGCTGGGGCTGTCAGGAGTTGCTACCACCGGCGCAGCTCCGTGCGGCTCCAGTCCCGCGTTGCCTTGGGAAGGAAAAGGCAAAACCAGGAGCCGCTGAGCCTGAGCCTCCGGTGCCGCTGCTGCCGTTGCAAAGCACCGCCGCGGCTCTTCCTTTTTGCCTTTCCCTTCCCGAGGCAACGCGGGACTGGAGCCGCGCGGAGCCGCGCCGGCGGTAGCAACTCCTGACTCAGGGGGCCTCTGAGGGGAGGGGAAGGAGGAGAAGAAGGGGGGAAGGAGGGCGATTCCCAAAAAATCTTGTGCTGACCCGGCCTGTCTGTCAAATTTTAAAAGTCAATGCGGCCCCCGAGCCAAAAAGTTTGCCCACCCCTGTCCTATGCAGTGGTGGGATGCTGCCGGTTTGGACAGGTTCTAGCAAACCGGTAGCTCCGAGGGACAGCTGGCCACGCCCACTCCCTCCCTCCCTCCCTCCCTCCCTCCCTCCCTATCCTGTCCTATATTTCCATGTTTTTCAGCTTAGCTGATTTGCGCAGCACAGTGAATTTCAGCTGTTTCACTTACTGGGGCTGTAGCGGTTGAAATTGGTGCATTTTGAATGCTGTGCGCACGTGTTCACAGAACCGGTTGTTAAACTGGTTGCAACCCACCGCTGCTTCTATGGTGTGCAAAATAGCCGATTGGTTTCAGATGGTCAGGCAAGAACCTGGCCCTCCTGGTCATAGAAGGTATGAGCCAGGGTGGCGCAGTGGTGAAAGTGAAGTACTGCAGGCTACTTCTGCTGACTGCAATTGGGCAGTTCAGGTTCTAGGTTGACTCAGCCTTCCGTCCTTCTGAGGTTGGTAAAATGTGGACGCAAAATTGTGGGGGGGCAGAGGCTGACTCTATAAACTGCTTAGAGAGAGAGATGTAAAAGCATTGTGAAGTCTAAGGGCTATCGCTAAGTGGGAAGGAAGGAAGGAAGGAAGGAAGGAAGGAAGGAAGGAAGGAAGGA